TTTTAACCATCATCCTTTATCATAACCTCGGCTTAACTTCAGCTTGTAAATTTTTCTCAAAATTTCAACAAGTGTTAAACCATCTTCCTTTCGATACGACCTCGGTTTAATTATAACTTGTAAATTCACACAGAATTTCAACAAGTGTTAAATATCATCTCAACAAGTGTTAAATATCATCTCGGTTTAACTTCAACTTGTAAATTCACACAAAATTTCAACAAGTGTTTTATATGATCATGCTCCATGAATCCAAATAAATGGATAACCACATACTGCTCATATAGGAAACAAGGCAAAATAAAACAGTATTCTAATAATATAGAAAACCATTAAACCAGAAACCGAACATACTGCTCATATAAAAAAAAAACAACTTATTCAACACACATGGCATGTGATAAACTACTTGTGCATTTATGAAATAAAGAATAAAATATATTATTCAAGAAACAATGCAAAATATGAATATTTTATTATTCACAAGAATTGTATCCAAATCAGAATATCTGTCAAACTAGTAAATGATCAAACCAGAATTTTATAAAAAATAAAACGGCTACTGCACTTATGAATCTAAAGAATAAAAAATCCTATCACAATATGATCTCATATACTAACAGGAATATAAACACACTGACTGCTTTATTGTTCTGTCTGGAATATAAATAAACAGACTACCTTTATATTCTGTAAATTAGTTTTTTTTTTTTTTTAAAACGAAGACCATCTATATAGGATTACAACGGTAAAACAGTAACCAACGAAGTATATAATTTCTGTCTTAAACTTGTTGGATATCTTTCTCTCCGAGAATATGTAATTTACAGAATATTAACAACATATATTACATACAGACAGAATAATATACTTGGGATCTTGTTGATCTTCCTCCTGGCAAGACTGCGATTGGCTGCAAATGGGTTTATAAAATCAAAACACATTCTGATGGCTCTATTGAACGCTACAAAGCTCGTCTTGTTGCCAAGGGTTTCAACCAAGAATATGGCATTGATTATGAGGAGACATTCTCTCCTGTTGCTCGGCTTACCTCTGTTCGCAGTTTACTTGCTGTTGCTACTGCTCGCCACTGGGGGCTCTTTCAGATGGATGTCAAAAATGCTTTCCTCAATGGTCATCTTCTTGAAGAGGTCTACATGCAACCTCCACCTGGGTCCACTTTTCAACCTCATCAGGTTTGCAAACTACAGCGTGCTCTTTATGGTCTCAAGCAAGCTCCTCGTGCTTGGTTTGCTAAGTTCAGTTCTACCATTCATGACTTCGGATTCACCTCTAGCTCCTATGACTCTGCTCTTTTTATACGGACTACTTCTCATGGTACTACTCTTCTTCTTCTGTATGTGGATGATATGATTATCACTGGTGATGATAAAGCTGGTATTCTTCACCTCAAACAATTTCTCCACCAACAGTTTGAGATGAAGGACCTTGGTACTCTTAACTACTTCTTAGGCCTTGAAGTCTCTCATGATTCTACTGGTTCCTATTTGTCCCAGGCCAAATATGCATCCGATCTTCTGGCTCGAGCTGGTCTTACTGATTGCAAAACTGCCTCTACTCCGGTTGATCCTCAGATTCGTCTCACTCCTCTCGATGGGACTCTTCTCTCTGATGCTACTCTTTATCGCCAGCTCGTCGGCAGTCTTGTCTATCTCACAGTCACTCGTCCCGACATTGCCTATGTTGTTCACATTGTCAGTCAGTACATGTCGGCTCCTCGCACTCCCCACTATACTGCTCTACTCTGTATCTTTCGCTACCTCAAAGGCACTATGTTCCATGGTCTTCACTTCTCGGCTTCTTCCTCTCTTGACCTACGTGCCTTTTCCGATGCTGATTGGGCTGGGGATCCTATGGATCGACGCTCCACCACGGGCTTCTATTTCTTCTTAAGGGATTCTCTTCTTGCTTGGCGTAGCAAAAAACAATCCCTCACTGCCCGCTCTAGCACCGAAGCTGAATACCGAGCTCTTGCTGATACTACTCAGGAACTTCTCTGGCTTCGCTGGCTCCTTGCTGATATGGGTGTTTCTTCATCTGCTCCTACCCCTCTCTACTGTGACAATCAGAGTGCCATTCAGATTGCTCACAATGATGTTTTTCATGATCGCACCAAACATATTGAGATTGATTGTCATTTTATTCGCCAGCATGTCACCTGTGGAACTGTTCATCTTCTTCCTATTGCTTCAGTCGATCAACCCGCTGATATCTTCACTAAGGCTCATCCTCCTGGCCGCTTCAATGATCTTGTTTCCAAACTCAACTTGGTTGATGCTTTCCCTCCTTGAGTTTGCGGGGGGCTGTTAGAATAGCTTTAGCTTTATCATTTTTAATTGTATAGCTTTATGTTAGAATAGCTTTAGCTTTATCATTATTAATTGTATAGCTTTACTTTATGCTTTCGGTGGGAGTGGGTTCTTTGGTATCCAATGCCCATATTTCTCTCTATAAAGAGAGACTTCATTCTCTTTGTAAATTAATGCATATACAAACATTTCAGAGTCTCTCTCTCGCTCTATAGCTTCTCTCACTCTCTCAAACTAAAGCGCTTTTGGAACAGTGGTTTGGCTCATAAATCAATTGCCCTCTTGTATACTTGGTTGAAAATGTCCATTTGAATTATTGTTGGTAAAACAACCAGATTATAGTTGCCTCCATACCTTTGGATGTAGATGATTTCCATACCTTCGTGACTATGCCAAAAATAAGTTTGATCCACAATCGTTACCTTGTGTCTTCCTTGGTTATAGTTATAATCACAAAGGTTATTATATTTATCACTCGCTTATAGGTCGTGTGTACATTTCTAGACATGTGATTTTTGATGAAATCAAATTTCGATTCCGTGATCCTGATAGTCTATTTTCTCTTGCTAATTTTAATGAGGAAATTACTTCATTTGATGAGTGGTTTGCAGGACCATTGGAACCATTACCACCAGCTCAACCCATTATAGATGCACCACCGGAGGGGGAGGAATCTCCATCTTCATCTACATTGTCTTGCCTTCTTCAGAATGATCTTAGGGACTCAAATGCTTTTGCAATTGGAAGAGATACATTAATGGATCATAATGGAGTCACTTCAAATGATCAATTGGAGCATAATCTAACAACGTCCGCATCATCACCAGTGACATATCATCATGCACAAATACCATTTTCTACTTCTCACCAAGAAGATGTTTGTGACGACCCCACCGCATATAGTAATTAGCACTTAATTAATTAAGGAGATTTGAATTTTAATTGTCCATTATTCTAATTTAATTTGAGATTTATAAGAATTATTCAGTTTGATTCGTATATGATTCTAATGAGAATTTATTTTGGAATTAGAAATTGAAAGCCTACATGGCTCAAGGGAGTATAATTAGTGAATTGAATTATTTTAATTTCGAGTATTGGACCGTATGAGAGTTTAATTAAATATTCGATTCTGGTTTGTAAAATTGAGATTTGATTAATTGGGTCCAAATTGAAGATAATTAAGTTATGAGAATTGGGAATTGAGGTTATTATGAATTAAATCTATTTATGGGGTATTCAATTAAGTATGTAATTTATTGGCAAAGATTTTGAAGTTTAATATGAAATTGAAGACCTTTATAATTTAAGAAACCAAAATTGAGGATGAAAATAAGTTTAATTTAATATTTGGAGCCTTTTGGGAATTTGATTAAAAATTAGATTCAGAATGATAAATTTTAATATAATTAATTAGGCTCTAAAAAAAGTCAAATTAGACGAATTAAATTACGTGGGATTTATAATGTAATGATTAATTTAATTATGTGTTAATCAAGATTTATTAAGAATAAGTGTTATTTAATTAAATTAATCTTAACCATAAATTAAATTGTAGAATGATTTAGAGTTTGAGGACATATATGGGTGTGTGTGCTGAGAAGTATGTGTGTGTGCAGAGAAATCTGTGTGTGTGCACGCGTGCCTATGTGGGTCAAGAGATAAAGGTGTGTATATATGTATTATGTTGAGGGATGGCCTTCAATTCCTTTGCAGGAAGAAAGAAGAAAAAGGAGAGAGAGAGAGAGAGAGAGAGAGAGAGAGAGAGTGGTGCTGGAAAAATGCAACTAAAGAACACAAGTATGGAAGAAGAACAAGAAAACTAAGGGAAATCACTTCTAATTTCTGAATTTGGAGTCTTAGGTAAGAATTCTAAGTCTAAATTTCGAAGATAAACCTCCATGCATCATGAATTAAGAAAGTTATGGACTTAATTTCATGGATTTTGTAAAAAATAAGGTTTAAAGTAAGAAATATAGTTATGGAAATTAATTTGGAAAATTAATTATTTTTGGTTTGATTTTGTAGTATTTTCTTATAAAACTTGAGATTGAGAAGGATTTGAGATTTTATTCATGGAATTAGAAAGAAATTGGGTTCTAAACATGAAATGGGTTAGATGCATGTTTATGGTTATGGCAATGATTGTAAGAATTCTTCAAATTGAGCTTGGGTTTGGAAACTTTGATATGTATGAGATGTACATTTGCATGCACTATGAGTTTTGAAAGGATTTAAGCCATGCAAGTTTATTATGCATTTGATTTTGAAGAAAAAGTTTTGAAAATATTGAGTTCATGAAAATGGTTTAATCATGGAGTAAATGAGGTTTTGATTTTATTTTGAAACCTAAAAATTGGTTTGATTTTAATCTCTAACCCATGCATGTAATGTAATTTAAGAGTTTTATTTAATTTAAACATGCCATGGAACATATTAAATTAGTTAGTTTTGTTTGAATTACATATATGCAATGTTTGCTAGAAAAATTGACAAGAAAATGAAGAATTGGAGCTAAGATCAAGTTTATGATGTTTAATTAGAAATTAATTATTTTGGATTTGATTTTGGAAGTTGTAATTAAATTAAGCTCCATAAATTATATGCAATTTTATTGTGCATTTGATTTTGAAAAGGAATTTTAGAATCATGAGTTCATGAGTTTTGATTTAAATATTGTGTTTCAAGATTTTGAGCAAATAATTTATAAATAAATAAATGTTTATGTTTTTTAAAGTATCTTCAAAGTTTTGATCAAGATTAGTATGGGTTTAAAGATTGAAAATGCATTGGGAAGCTATTTTTGAGAAATTTAGAATTCTAGAATTTAACAAACCGCTCGAGCGGGATAACTACTGCTCGAGTGCACATTGAAGACTTCGAAAAGGAATTTTAGAATCATGAGTTCATGAATTTTGATTTAAATATTGTGTTTCAAGATTTTGAGCAAATAATTTATAAATAAATAAATGTTTATGTTTTCTAAAGTATCTTCAAAGTTTTGATCAAGATTAGTATGGGTTTAAAGATTGAAAATGCATTGGGAAGCTATTTTTGAGAAATTTAGAATTCTAGAATTTAACAAACCGCTCGAGCGGGATAACTACTGCTCGAGTGCACATTGAAGACTTCCAGTACTTTTGCAGTCTTTTACAAACCGCTCGGGCGACTAAAGGTTCGCTTGAGTGAACAACTATTTTCAGCATGTTTTGAAAAATCACACTTTGTTCATATTTGCATTCTCATCTCTCCCCAAGCATTCTAGACTTGATTTATGGCTCAATAAAGATTAATAAGCTAATAATAAACATTAATTAGTTCATTAAAAAATAAGTCATTGACTTAGTAGTAATTGATTAAGAAGCCAAGTAAGAAATTGGTTTATTCAGAAAAGAATGATTTAGTAATGAAAGAATATGTAAAATGAGAACCCAATTTATTTGAATAAAGAAAGAATATGCGTAATAGACCTTTAGATTATTTAGATAGAAGACAAAAGAAGTCAAGTTTGATAAAGGAAATGATTTGTGTTTCAATGTGTATATGTTATGTGTTTGTGTAGGTCGCGCGCTATCGTCTGTTCTACTCCTGGAGCTGTCTGTGAGTAATAACTCTGTAAAGCTATATTCAACTTTAAGTATTTTTTGAATGACTTAACATGATTTGTTCCCTGAAATGTTATTTTCTGTATGAATGAATGATAGTCCAAATTTTTGAAATGTATTTGTGGTACCCTTGGCAAAGGCCCTCGCCTAGGGAAAATAATACTGTGGCTTATGGTTATGAGAACTTCGCCCGGAGGAAACAATACCATAGCATAAGGCCCTCACCCAAGAGAAACAATACCGTGGAATAAGGCCCTCGCCTGGGAGAAACAATACTGTGGCCTACGTAAGTTATATGAAACCCGGTACCAGAGGTTCCATTATGGAACTTGTCATGAATGACTAATATGATTTGTTAACACGAATGGATGTACCACACATGATTTGAATATGAATATGAATATGACTATGTTTCTAATTTGATAAGGGATTTGAAATCTGATTTCTGAATTTGTTATGGACATCATTCATTAAAATCTTTTCTTTGTTATTATTCATCCGGCTCCAGCTCACTGTTTATATTTTGTATGTAGGTGATCAAGCGTGTGACCAGGTCTAGAGCTTCTACCTAGACTCTGTTTTGTCAGCCAACCTATGTGCCTCCCATGGAGGTTCCGGATATGTCAAGTGGTTATGGCTATGTGCATAAAGTTCAAGTTTTGTTTTCTTGTTTTGGTTTAACGAGTGTTCTTGTTTATTCTGTATTTAGGGATAAGTCTCTTTTTGTCTAGCCTATATATATGATGATATGTAAATGTATGTACATAAAGTTTAAAATTTTATGTCTCATATAAATCTGTACAGCTCAATGGACGTTGTATATTTGTTATTTTCTTCTGCTAGCCCCTAATATTATGGTAATCTATCTCAGAGGCCTTCGGTAATCCCAGAATTACTGGTCGGTTACGATGCTAAACCTATAAAGGCGAGTTTGGGTCATGACAACGTTGCTCTAGTACAAAATTGTACTAAGCAAACTGATCCACCTCTATGATTGATGCTTCTACCACACACGAGTGCATCATTTATCCCAATTCAAGCATGTTGGAAGATTCGCCCAACATGCCTTCTCAACATACTCAAGAACAATTTAATGAACAAACAAGTGACCCTTTTGTTCATTGATGATAGATCAACATCATCCCCCTTAGTTCATATAATGATTACTAGAAACAAAGCTGGAATTCATAAACCCAATCCCAAGTATTTTTCTTTGGATTACACATTTGTTACTGAAAGAATTCCTACCGAGCCAAAATCAGTAAAGTCGGCAATGAAGCACCCTGGTTGGTTAGGTTGGTTTGCTGCAATGAAGGAAGAAATCTTTGCACTACATGCCAATGACACATGGGAGTTGATTCCTCGATCATTTACCATGAATATAATAAGGTGTAAGTGGGTCTACAAGACAAAATTACATGTAGATGGATCTCTAGAAAGACTGAAAGCACGCTTGGTGGCCAAAGGATTTAATCAAATTCTGGGAACAGACTTCATGGAGACCTTCTCACCTATTATTAAGCTAGCAACTATTCACACAATTTTGAGTGTGGCTCTTGTCCACCATTGGGATATAAGGCAACTCAATGTGAAAAATGTCTTTTTGCATGGATATCTTAATGAACCAGTTTACATGGAACAACCACTTGGCTTTCAAGACCCACAAAAGTTACACCATGTGTGTAAATTAAAACGTGCCCTATACGATTTGCACCAATCCCCTTGTGCCTGACTTGATCGTTTCAGTGCCTTTCTTCTTTCCATTGGTTTCTTTTGCAGTATTTTTAATTCCCTGCTCTTTATTTGTCATCATTTCCTTGGCACAATATTATTGTTGTTATATGTTGATGACATAATTTTGACGGGTAATAATCTCACCCTTCTCAATCAGTTGTTCACCGACTTAGTCAAGAATTTGTAATGAAGGAGCTTGGGTATCTTTACTACTTCCTTGGAGTAGAAGTGACACAATTCTCTAGTGGGCTATTTTTACATCAAGCTAAATATGCTTATGAGCTTCTTGAGCAAGCCCAAATGAAAGATTGTCGCCCGGTAACGACTCCAATGATTAGCAAATTTTGGTCTACTTTCACCAGTGATGCACTTTTTGAAATCTCACAATTTTTTCAGAGTATCGTTGGTGGTCTTCAATATTTTACCTTTATACAACCCGGCATCTCTTAAGTGTCAATTATGTATGTCAATTCATGCATAATCCCACCAATTTTCATTTTCAATTGGTTAAACGCATTTTATGGTATGTTCAAGGTAGCATTACTCATGGGATTCACCTTCTCTCTAACATCACTATGGTCTTATATGGTTACTCTAATGCGGATTGGGCTGGTTTTCCTCTAACAAGGCGATCAACAACTAGTTTTTGCACATTTTTCAGTGGAAATTGCATCTCTTGGAGTTCAAAGAAGCAACCCACAGTAGCAAGGTCACGTATTGAATCGGAGTATCATGCTCTTGCCTCTACAACTGTAGAGATCACTTGGTTGGTTATCTTATCTAATTCATGATATCGATCTTTTGCATATACCACCACCTATACTTTTTTGTGACATCATATCTGCTTTACATATGACTATAAACCCAGTGTTCCATGCACATACAAAACACATCGAAATTGATTCTCATTTCGTACGTGAAAAGGCTGTAGCTGGTGATCTCATCACTCAGTTTGTTTCTTTAGAGAATCAAGTTGTTGACATCTTTACTAAGGCCCTCTCACATCATCCATTTCAGAAGTTAGGTGTCAAATTGGGTCTCTGGCCTCTTTCCTATCCAAGTTTGAAGGGAAGTATTGCAGGAAAAATACCGGTCACTCCAATTGGTAAGAAGAAACAGGGACTAAAAGGCAAGATTCAAGGGATTATATTCTAGAAGATTCACAAGACAACTAGTAGAATATTTTCTCTATATAATTATAGATTTCTATCAAGGCTATAGTTATGCCTTCTCTTCCTCTATTTTTCATACATAGTTCTGAAGCTTGTATTACCTTCTCTGCCAAACCCTAACCCTAACCACCACTCATGTCACTGCCCCCTCTCATGCCTCTCTTTTCCTCCAGTCGCCGCCTCTCATCTCTTTTTATCGCTAGCCCTCTCCTCTGCTTCATTGTTCTTTTTTTTTTCTCCACCCTGAGCTCCTTAATTGTTCTCTACCTCCGGCTGCCCTCACCAACCCCAACCACCATGATCTTCATTATCACTAAGAATTATAGGTCTTAATCCTGCAACGCACCACCTCCATAACCCCACCGATTGCTACCCCCAACTTGCAACAAGAAAGAGAAATCGAGATCCATAGTTGCGTGGGCATGTACGAAAGAGAGATATCGATCTAGAGTTTCAAGAATGGAAAAGAATGAGGGGGTGGGAAGGTGTAAGAAAGTGGCGTTGGAGAGGATGCGAAGAAGCGATATGGGTGGCATCGGAAAGAATGTGAAGAGGCAATGGGAACGACACTTGAGTTTGAGGTGCAACAATGGCTGCGATTAAGCGATGGATGGTGGTAGGGTGTATGTGTGTAATGAGAAATTAGGGTTGTCCAAAATTGTAATTTGATTGAGAGACAAAATTATAATAAAAAAAATTGAAAGATGGTAGGTAGTGAGAAAATGAGGGAATATTCTATTTCCACACAGTACTTCCTCTCTTTCCATATCTTTTCTCAATACACACACTAAATAAATTTAAATTATCAATTTTCACGTAATACACATCCTACTATACCAAAAATACTCTTACCATCTTCATCCTCCAAACCCTATCCCTAACAAGCCACCACCGCTGTTGCTGCCACTGGCGGCACCTCTTCCCTTCTGGCATTGTGAGACATGTAGATGCAAACTAGGCAAAACACGTTGTTTCTAAGATGAACCACAAACCCCACAATCGACTTTGAAGTAGTGACTGTATCAGTTACATGATTCAACTCAAATAGTGGGACTGTAACCAAACTATCATCATCTGGAAGAGTATAATCATCAAATGTTTCAATTTCTTCTCCAGTCTCTTGTTCTTCATCATCATTTCCTGCAGTCAAATCATACGCATACACCTTCATGATCTTTCCAGGTTGATCAAAGACAGTCTGACACAACAGATAGTCTATAACCTCAGCCTCAAAGAACCATGGGCCTACACTTAAATTATAAAGTATCATATCATCTGATCCAGCACCGGCAGCGCCACCACTGTTACCGGCGCTACCATCGTGACCTCAACCCTCTCCCCTTGATATCGATCCCTCTCTCTTTCTTTCTCTCTCTCTCATAGTCACGAATGGGGCAAAAAGTGGAGGCGTCGGTGATTCATTTGGCGGCAGAGAGAGACGAAGGCAAAGGAAGATCACGGTGGTGGGCAATAAAGGCGGAGGGAGATTGTAGTGGTGCGCCGATCTTCTTCTCAGGCAAAGGGGGGTCACAGTGGTAGGAAAGAGGTGACGGGAAGAGTGGAGGAGGGGAGAGGCAGCGGCAATGGATGATGATGGTGGAAACTGATGGTTTGAGAGAGTTAGAGTTAGGGTTTTGGGAAAGGGATATTTTGGTAATTTCATTTTAGGACAAAAATATAATTAAAAAAATCATTAAATGTGTAGAAAGAGAGGAAGTAGTGCGTGGAAATAGAATTTCCTGAAAATGACTGGTGTGCAAATAGAATTACCCATAAATTTAAGGATAAATTACAAATACACCCTTGGCATAATTATAGAACATGGCAATGAAAGGCACTACTTATGCTATATATGATATGATATATGATATAAGACCATTTAGTGTTCATTTAAAAAGTGACTTGTTTATTTAAATGATTTATTTAGTGATTTTTTAATTTTTTTTTTTGGCTAAACTACAAAGTGAAAGTGTAAAAAGCGTTTGGGAATAAATTTTAAATTTTAAATTTTAAATTTTTTTTTAAAAAAAAGCACGTGTAAAAAAAAATGAAAATAAGTTTTAAAATTTTTAACTAAAATGTTGATACGCCAAACAAAAAAAGTAGTAAGATTTAGCACATAGGAAATAAAATGGGGAATTCTATTTGAATCCAAAATATGTTTTAATATGCCCAATTTCAATTTATAAATTTTAATTCTTATTATATTTTAATATAAATTTACTAATAAGGACAACACATATTAAATCCTAAAATAATTTTTTTTTCTCATGGTACACTTTAATTAGTTATTTCTATTTAAATCTCTGTATCTTCTTTCTCAAAAATCAAAGTTATTTCTTCTTCTTCTTCTTCTTCTTCTTCTTCTTTTTATTCCTCTTCTTCTTCATCCTCCTTCTCAAACTCCTATTGACCCTACCAAAACTCACAATTATCATCAACATCATTATTTTTTATTATTTTGAAATCTTAAATCCTAGAAGAAAGTTTGAACAAAATCAAATAATAGACGAGAGTAATAATCAAAATAGTTTTTTGAAATAACCCATCAAAAAGGAAATAAGTATTCATATAAAGGGATTTCACAATTTTTATAGAGCACTATCAATTATTTCCTATATCGTTTTTTGACTAAAATTAAAATTTCTAAGAACTTCCAAAATAATTTTTGTAAAACACCATCATTATTTTTTATTTACACCCAATTTCTGTGCACCATGAAAATTTCTAAGTACCATGAAATTTTACGGACCCAATTTCTTACGCATCATGAAAATTTTTAAGTACTCCCAAAATAATTTTTGTAAAGAACCATTATTATTTTTTATTTACACAATTTCTGTAGAAATTTTAATTTTTAGTCAAAAAAAGATATAAAAAATAATTGGTTGTAGTCTACAAAAATTGTGAAATCGCTTTATAT